AAGTCAGACGAATCTTTGCCTGTTTTCTCATGATTATACTGTCATTTAACAGAGTGTCCTGCCCAGTTTTGGGGGCCTGACTGCAAGGGGAAATGTAATTGTCACCCCAATGGTCAGTGTGATGATTTGACTGGCGAGTGTACCTGCAACCACAATCGCTGGGGACCAAACTGTGAGAACGCGTGCTTATGCCAAAAGGGCAAATGTGACCAAGAGACGGGCAAATGCACATGCCACCCTGGCTTTTGGGGTCCCCAGTGCAACAACAACTGCTACTGCAGCATCAACTCTGTATGTGATGCAGTGACGGGGCGATGCATGTGCAACTCTGGCTGGACAGGGAGGAACTGTGGAATCCAGTGTAACTGTAACAATTCACCATGCGACCAGTTCACGGGACGTTGCCAGTGCCGAGAGAGGCTGTGGGGCCCACGATGTGAACGATATTGTCAGTGTGTTCATGGCAAGTGCAACCAGGCAGACGGCTCGTGTACCTGTACACCAGGGTACCGTGGGAAGTTCTGCAGAGAACCGTGTCCTGCTGGATTCTATGGTCAAAACTGCAGGAACAGGTGGGAGAAAAAGATCAGCAGATGCCTAATGTTCAGTTTCCTTGTCTGATCCATTAGTGGTTTTGATAGGAAATAGGATTTGATATATACTGCAGCTGATAGTCCTTAAAATACCTGAACATGTTACTTAATGAAGCAATAATAAAGTGAGATTTAGGAATTGGTATTCGCATTATCTCATAATTATCCGCCAGCATGTAAAAGCAATTTAGGTCAAGTGCTTTACCTTCCATGGACTGGACCATTTTCACACTGTGCAGTTGCTATAAACCCCAAAGAACACAGAGTTCAATCTTTTTATCTCCTCTCTAAATAATCATTAAAGTAACAATTTGAGAAATGGAAATACAGATTATTATGATTAATCATGCCTAAACTGTTTCAGTATACGTAGATGAGATGGATGACTTTTGTGTAAAAAAGTTGATTTTTTTTTTCTCCAATTTTCCTTGACTGACCACAGGTGTGGACACTGCAAGGGCCAGCAGCCCTGTAAGGTGACAGAGGGAACCTGCATCACCTGCGACCGAGGCTGGAACGGAACACGATGTGATCAGCTCTGCTCCAAGGGCTTCTTTGGTGAAAACTGCCAGGAAGTGTGTCCCACCTGTAAAGACGGTCACCACTGTGACCCCATTCATGGCAAGTGCTCTCACTGTAACCCTGGCTGGATTGGGGACAGGTAAGAAAACATACTGTAAAATCTGAAAATGTGTGAAAGAAAAGCTTTGTCATTTTCAATGTTAAAACTATCATGGTAGTGCGTTTAACTAGTAGCTCCTACAGTGACTGTGATAATGCCCAAGACCCATTCAGCTAAGCTTGAAAATGACTGTAATCATGGCATTCCGTCTGTGTGCCACAGGTGTGAGGTGCGCTGCCCCAATGGCACGTATGGTGAGAACTGTGAGAACAACTGCAGTCACTGTTTTAACGGCATCTGTCATGTTGTCACCGGAGAGTGTCTATGTGACCCAGGGTTTTATGGCACCTAGTAAGTCATAAGGCAACTCATGTCCGTGCCCTCGGCAGCACGCAGCGCACATAGAAAACAGTTGATGCCTTTCATATAACGTTTGTCACACACTTGGGAATTTAAGGAGTGCAATTTGAGGCATATCTTTACAGATACGGATAAACCACAATCTGGGAAAAAAGAAGTGAAATTCCTACAAATTTCTGTTATAGAAAAAAACCCTGCATGGAACAAAAAGCTGATCCTATTTATCCTTTTCTCTTTTTCTATGTCCTATTTAACACATCTGTTACTTGGAATGAACTATAAACAGATGTTGTTTTGTCTCTTCTCTGTGCTCAAGCTGCAATATGACCTGTCAACCTGGCCAGTACGGAGTGAACTGCAACCTAACTTGCTCTTGCCATGAGAAGAACTGTGATCCTGTGTCTGGTGCCTGCTATCTCCGTAAGAAAGCCTTCATTCTTTGAAGACCAACCAGATACTTTGTGGTTATAATTTTTTAAGGAGGTTTCTATGAAGAGCAGTAGAGAGAAACTGATGATTTTTTAAATAATGTAACTTTTCTGAGACAAAACAGGATTTTTTTTTCTCACACTACTCATACACAAACAGTTCTAACCCTTTAAAACAGTTTGTCCAAACAACAGATGCTGTTAATATGGCCTGTGTCTAATAGTTGGCTGTACACACTGAGTACTAACATACAGATTTATTGAGGTCAGTGTGTGTAGTAGGAGAGTTAACGTAGCGAGGCCTTGATAGTGTTTCCAGACCCGGACCAGTGTCCTTTTTATGGCTGTGTTTGTTGGCTCTGTTCCTCTCCAGCCAGCGAAAGAGGAAGAGAGAGAGAGAGAGAG